CAGAGAGAGAGACCGACAGCAGAGAGAACACGAGAGACGAGAGAGAAGAGAGAACTCTCGATGAGAAGTAAGCATGTTCGACTACAAATCAGCCGACGCAGAAAATCGAATAGGCAGATCGCAATAATACCCACAAAACAAACTTTTGACGAGCGAGAGGCGTACGACAGGGCGGAACGACAGCAGGCCCAAACCGAACCTCAATCTCGGCTCGAGGCGGCAGGAGGAAAGGGCACCGATCGCGTGGAGGCAGCTCACTCATGTCATAAGACGACTGCTCTCCTCTAGGCTGCACGCCGCAGGGAGTTCTTTTCGGACTGCGGCCGAGGCAGCACCTTCTCCAATCGTCAGGATCGCGCGAGACTTGCGCGGGCATTTTCTCGCTTCGCTCGCGCCGTGTCGGCCGCGTAAACAGCCGAAGGCCCTCCCACGTATCCCCTGCCTGCCCATCAAGCATTTCCCAACGCCCCCAGGTCACTGCCTCCATCTCACAGCGATTGCTCCATTTTTCTGTGTTGGCATAAAAGCAGGTAATATATTTAAACATTAATAATTAACTAGAAAGCGGGCAGTTGTCAGCCAACTACATTGTATTGCCCCGTGTTCCAAATGTGTAAGTATACGAAGTTTGGTCGCAGCTAGGTCATAAGGAGACGCCGAGTTATAGAGGCGGGAAGGCCTATGGATCAGGCGTAGAGAAGTCAGGATCAAATAAGGGTCGTAGTGACCATAGGATTTTTTTAAGCGTACATCAATTAGGGGCCCGAGTATTATAGAAGCGAAGGAAAATATGGATTAAGGTCAAGTAAAGGTTGAATAAAGGTTGACAGTGGCCTGGCTTGGTAAGCTGCTTCACCTTCTCCCCAAGATGTGTAAAGTATAGCGCAAGTTTTGGCATGCTAGGTCAATTAGGAGCCAGAGTAGAGAATGGAAGGGAAAATATGATCAAGGTCAATGGTAAAGGTCAAATAAAGTCGGCAGTGAACCGGTTTTTTGGTACGCTGCTCACTTCTCCCAAGAATGTTTAACTATACCAAAAGTTTGTAGCGCTAGGTCAATTAGGGCCCGAGTTAGAGAGGCGGAAGGGAAACTATGAGTCAAAGGTCAGGTAAAGGCAAATAAAGGTCTGGGCAGTGACCTGGTTTGGTACGCTGCCTCACCTTCTCCCCCAAAGATGTGTAAGTATACGCAAGTTTGGTACGGCTAGTTCAATTAAGCCCGAGTTAGAACCGACGGGAAATTGTCATGCTGTGGCGGTGGGCTGGGGAGACATGAAACCGAATAGTATCACGCGCCGACTTACGTACGGGCGGGGATACAAATAATATTTACAAAATCAAAATAGAAA